ATAGTCAATAAAACACAAGTACACATCTTTCTCGTATTCCTTGCTTTGAGCCAAGATCCCCTGACATCAACAATGATATCCCTCGTTCCACATCCTCTTCTGAATCCAGTTTGCATTTCTGGAAGTTCTCTGTCAATAACTGCTGCAAACGTTTTTGAATTATCTTCAGTAAGATTTTACTTGCATGCGATATTAAAGATACTGTTCGATAATTTCCACATTTTGTGGGATCACCTTTCTTTGGAATGGGTACAAATATGGATCTCTTCCAGTCAGTTGGCTTTGTCTGCTCAAGTTGCTCTTTGAAATCTTCTGTTCAGCTTTTTCATCTTGTCATTTCTTCCACTTGTTTTAGCTACTCTCTGCTTAAGGGCAAGTCTCAGAGTCTCTTATGACACCCATTTTGGTCTTTTCTTCCCTTCTCATCTTTTTAATGATCTCTTGCTTTCTAAATGGATGATGTTCTTGATATCGTCCCACAATTTGTCTGGTTTTCAGTCACTGGTGCTCAATGCATCAAATCTATTCTTTAGATGATCTCAAAATTCAGGAGGGATATATTCAAGGTCATATTTTGTCTCTCGTGGACTTGTTTTAATTGTCTTCAACTTCAAGTTGAACTTGCATATGAGTAACTGATGGTCTGCTGCACAATCAGCTCCTGGCCTTGTTTGGACTAAAGATATTGAGCTTCTCTGTTGCCTCTTGCCACAGATGTAGTCAATCTGATTCCTGTGTACTCCATGTGGCGAAGTGCACATGTATAGCCCCCATTTGTGTTGTTGAAGAAAGGTATTTGCAATGAATAAATCGCTGGTCTTGCAAAATTGTATCATGTGATCTCCAGTGTTATTTCTGTCACCAAGGCCAAATTTTCCAACTACTGGTGATTCTTCTTCGTTTCCAACTTTTGCATTCCAGTCACCAGTGATAATTAACACTTGTTGATTGCATGTTCGGTCAATTTCAGACTGCAGAACTTGATAAAAATCTTCAATTTCCTCATCTTTGGCTTTGGTGGTTGGTGGGTAAATTTGAATAATAGTCGTATTAACTGGTCTTCCTTGGAGGAGGATAGATATTATCCTATCACTGACAGCATTGTACCTCAGGAGAGATCTCGAAACATCCTTTGTGATGATGAAGGCCACATCAATCCTTTTCAAATTGTTACTGCTAGCATAGATGATCATATGGCTGTCTGATTCAAAATGGCCAAAACTGGTCCATTTCAGCTCACTAATGCCTAGGATATCAATCTTTAGGCATTCCATTTCATGTTTGACAACTTCCAATTTTCCTAGATTCATACTTTGTACATTCCATGTTCTGATTATTAATGGATGTTTGCAGCTGTTTCTCCTCAACTGGAGTCATGCCACATCAGCAAATGGAGGTCCTGAAAGCTTTACTTTATCCATATCATTATGGTTGGTTCTACTCTGACGATGCAGCTCTTTCTTAGTCATATTTTGAGTGCCTTCTGACCTAAGGGGCTCATCTTCCTGCTCTGTATCAGACAACATTTCTGGGCAATTCATAAAGTTGCCCAGTAATGTATCAGACAGTGTTTCTCTGCTATTCATAAGGTTTTTCCCTAGCCAATTCTTTGAGAAGTGGATGGCCTCTTCTTTCTTCCTAGTCTGTCTCAGTCTGTAAGCTGTGTTGAAACCTGTGCACCATGTGCAGCCCTGCTGGAATTTGAAACACCGGTGGCACCGCCTCAAGCCTCACAGCAACACACAAGTCACCACAGTACGACAAACTGACAATTTTGTCTTCCTTAGCTGTTCGAAACCTCTCTGCCCTCCCCTTTACCTGGATCCTGCTGCCTTGTCGTCCCCGGCTTTCCCTCCTTCCTGCCTCTTGAGTGGGGCCTGTCTCCCTCCTCTTACCTGGATCCTGCCGCCCTGCCATCCCCAGCTTTCTGTCCTTTGCACACACAGACTACTGAAAATACTATGGTTGGGTCAGATGAACCTTAGTCTTCAAAGCGACCTCTTTGCTCTTAAACACTTTAAACAGGTCTTTTGCAGAGGATTTGCCCAGCGCAATATCACTTGATTTCCTGACTGCTGCTTCTATGGGTGTTGATTGTGGATCCAAGTAAAATGAAATCCTGACACCTTCAATATTTTCTCTACTTATCATGATGCTGCTTACTGGTCCAGCTGTAAATTTTGTCTAGTTTCTGTCTTCCTTATGTTGGGATGTAATCCGTACTGAAGGCTGTGCAGTCTTTGATCTCCACCAGTAAGTGCTTTAAGTCTTCCTCATTTGCAACAAGCAAGGTTGTGTCATCTGAATACTGAGGGTTGTTAATGAGTCTTCCTCCAATCCTGATGCCATGTTCTTCTTCATATAGTCTAGCTTCTGGGATCATTTGCTCAGCACCCAGATTGCATACGTATGGTAAAAGGATACAACCCTGATGCACATCTCTTGTGATTTTAAACATGTGGTGTGCCCTGGTTCTGTTTGAACAACTGCCTCTTGGTCTATGTCTAGGTTCCTCAAGAGCTCCCACCCTAGAGCTACAGCAATCAAAACAGAATGGGATCAGCAAAAGGATAGACATATAGATCCGTGGAGCAGGATACAGTCCAGACGTAACCCTCAGACACACAAATGATTTCCCACAATCAATGGAGAAACAGCAGTCCTTCCAACAAACAGCTGGAAATAACTGCATACCCATTGCTAAAAAAAGATCCTCAACTCATATCTCACACTAGATACAAAAATTAATTCAAGGTGGACTATAGATCGACTTGGGGGTCCCCAAGACCCTCCTCAGGTTCCAGATACACCAGGAAGGCCTCAGTGCTCAGCAGAGTCACACAGAAAAGGGTTCAGGGAAGAGCAGCAAAGAGAGACTGCAAAGGAAGGGCAGGCATGTGCTCCAAGACTCCTCTCCCCATGGAGCTGACCACGAGGCACTCAGTTTCTCAGGAAAGAGTGTGACACCTTGTGGGAAGTGGGGCCAACCAGGAAGCTCATTGGAGACTCAGCGCCCAAGGTTTTTATTGGGGGCTGGTCACAGAGACACCCTTGTCTGCCTGGCACAACCATAATTACAGGCTCCCAGAAGGCAGGCAAGGAGCTCTGGTGGCGCAGTGGAAAAGGCACTTGACTGCTAACTGGAAGGTCAGTGGTTCAAACCCACCAGCCACACCACAGAAGGAAGATGGGACTTCTGTAAAGATTTACAGCCTTGGAAACTCAATGGGGGTCACTATGAGATGGAAACAAATTGATGGCAGCAGTGAGCTTGGTTTTTTTTTTTTTTTTTTTTGAGAAAGAAGGTGGGTGTTTGTACCCACAGTCTAGGCAAGGGGAGCCCCTTTATCCGTTAGGGAATGGGGGAAATCTGCCCCAAATGCAGTTCCTAGGCAGCAGCTGAGGCCAGCCTTGAAGCAGCCTTTCCACAGTAACAGGCCTGTATGTGAGCTTTTCTTTGCACACGGATCTAAACATAAATCCAAGAGCATGACACTTCTAGAAGAAAACACAGTGCAGGGAAACCCGTGAGAGCCGGAACTCGGCGGGCCTGCCTTGTGTGTCCGGGTCTCGCAAGCCTTCCGCCTTGGACAGGGTGCTGTCTGACCACTTTTCTCTCACTCTCCATTAGTGGGAAACAATTGAGTTTTTCTTCTCTGACAAGTTTCTACCTTATACAGGCTTTTGCAAGTTTTACTGCAGTGAATTCTTATGACCTTGGGCTGAACAAAGATCTCCTGAGTATGACAGCAAAGTATGATTCGTAAAAGAACAATCCAGTGCATTAAGAACTTCCTTTCCACTCTTTAAAAAGCACTGTTAGCAGAGTGGCAAGAACCCCTGTCATTGGGGAAAATAGATCTGAAAACACGTATCTGATAAATGAGTTCTATCCAGAATAAAAAAATAATAAAAACCATAACACGCAGTATTAAGAAACCAAATCCCTAAGTGAGGAAAAGTTAAATGAGACACTTTAGCAGACATGACACACAGAAGTCAAATAAACACACGAGCAGAGGCTCCATGTCAGCTGTCACCATGGAAGACAACACACATTGCACCACCCCAGCCTGCACCACACCCCATCAGAACAGCTTGACAGGAAAGCACACACAACATCAAGTGCCAGAGGCAGCCTGTCGCCACGTGAAACATACAACCTACCAATCGCATGCCGAGGTACGTACCCAGTGGGATAAAAAATATTCACAAGAAATCCTGGATACAAATGGTTGTCACAGAGTTATTCGTAAGTACCCCAGATGGGGAACCCCCTAAATGTCCTTTCCCTGGCGAATAGCAGGACTGCAGTGGTCCACTCATACCTGGAATCCCACTCAGCGGTAAGAAGGGGCCTATGACACACCTGGCAGGGGCTCCCACGAATCTAGAATGAGCAGCACATGTGAGGACCAAGAGAGGTCAATCTCAACACCCCTGGCCTCATCCCCAACATGCACATAGACCCCTCATGGGCAGGGTCTAAAGGAAAGACAAGTGGAATGTTTCAGAGAAGGCTGGTTGAGCAGAGGGGACCAAAGGGCAGGACACCTGGTGGGGGGCAGAGGCGCGACTTCCCATGCCACCCGAGGCTGTGTGCTCAGGGCACTAGGATGCTGGAGGTGATGGATGAGCCGTGAAGTTGCTGCCAGTGGCAGGAAGCAGACAATGACGGACTGGTGAGAATGTGGGCAGTCAGGGCCCACAGGGCACTCTACCTGGAGGCAGACCAAGCAGCCGAGGGCTGGCCTCTATTTCCTTGACTGTCTCCCCAGGTAACCAAGGCAAGGCGTGGGGGCACCGGAGGGAAGAAGCAGCCCAGAGGGGCAGGCCGGCTGGTGAGCGCCCAGGAAGTCTCCCCTGGCAGCCTGATCCCGAAAGGCAAGCTAGCTCAGTGTTCCTTCCAGCGACCCTTCAGTTGTTCCCACTGTCCTTTCCAGCCCAGAATGCTGGGGGCTCAAGCCCACGGGGAGGGGTGGCTGAGGAAACTCTCCTACCTGGCAGGCGAGCCGCGGTCAGGGGGTTGGACAGGGCCATGCCGATCTCTGTCATGCCGTACCTCTCCAGCAGGGTGTGACCCGTGATGTCCCTCCACCTTTCCAGCACCGGCACGGGCAGTGCGGCTGAGCCCGAGACCATCAGCCTGCGAGACACAGCGGGAGCGGCTCAGCTCTGGGGAGAGCCCAGCCGTCCACCAAGGCCACTCGGCTCGGGGCCCAGAGAACACCCGCCCCGTCCAGTCGAGACGGAGCTGATGCTGGCAGGCATGTTGACCACGGAGTGGTCTGCAGGGGCAGGGGAACCAGCCCTCAGGGTCTCCGGTGGTACCCAGTGCACATATGGAAGCTGCTCACACAGTCCTGCATCACACAGTCACCACATCAAGGACGTGACAGGGTTTATGTGTGAGAAGGT